TTTATATTTGGTTTAATAATATAATTTTCTTATAAAAATATAATTAATTTTTTTATTTTTGGTTTAATATTATAAATTTTATAAAGATAATAATAAATATTCTGCTAGAATTTAATGATTATACTAATTATATTTTAGATTTTTTATATTTAAAATGAGATGTTTATCCTGTATTTGATCGTGTTTATCTGCAGTTAGTTACATGAATTTAGATATGGGAAAAGTTTAAGAGTTTTTGAAAGTTTTAAGAATTGTAAGAGTTTTAGCCAAATGTTTTATAAGATAGTATAGATATAGGCGGAGGTTCAAACCGAGAACCCTTGTGATTTACGAAAACGCGAGAACAATCCATTAACCTCAAACTTTTTTAATTAATAGATTAACTTATATTAAATATAAATAAATTAATAAGGACAATGATGTAATTAAGTAATTTTTATAATTTTTATTTTATTTTAATTAATTATAATTATCCTTTTTTTCCTGGATTGATCACATTCGTTTCTACTCTCTTCTCTTCCCTTGTGATTATTGTGTGATTGTGTAACCATAACCTATCGAAGTCATGACCAATCGAGTGTAACCATAACCTATCGAAACCATGAGTAATCATTGTGATAAATGTGTGATTGTCTAACCCTAACCCTATCGAAAACATGATCAAATTGAGTGTCCAAGTGATGTTATAATAGTGATATCACATTATCATCATACTCATATCACACCAAATTGTTTAGTGGATTTCGCTCGTAATCGTTGTGATAAATGTGTGATTGTCTAATCCTGACCTATCGAAACCATGAGTAATCGTTGTGATAAATGTGTGATTGTTTAACCCCAACCGATCGAAACCATGATCAAATCGAGTGCGCTATTATGATAGTGATATCACATGATTATCACACTCATATCACACCAAATCGGTAGTCTATTTCCTAAGTTAACCCTAGCCGAACGGAATCCTTGTGATAATTGTCTGATAATCACATGATTATGACACTCATATCACACCTACATTACACCAAATCGTGTTGAAATAAACGATAACCATAATAGCCCATTATGTTATCCAGATTATTGGGTTTAGTGTGATCGTGTTTATAAAATTTTATCACTTAGAATTCCAATATTACCCTTTTGCCTCTCAAATTTTTTTGAATTGTTTTAATTTTATTTTTAATTTAAAAAATCTTTTAATTTTATTTTTAATTTAAAAAATCTTTTAATTTTATTTTTAATTTAAAAAATCTTTTAATTTTTATTATTATCACAATATAAGGTTAATAGGTTGTTCTCGTGTTTTCGCAAATCACAGAGGTTCTCGTTTGAACCCTTCCCTATATATATATATATATATATATATATATATATATATATATATATATATATATGGGTTGGTAAAAAGTCAGTCTTGTTTGGTAAGACAAAATTTTACAAAGAAAAGACCCTAATTAGAGCAGTGAAACCTTTAAGGCAAGAGATGTGGGCAAGTCAGTCGCTAGAACTCCCAGATAGAATCCCCATAAAAATACCACTAGATCGAGCACCAGTGATTTCGTATCCGGTCAAAATCTTGGCTAATCGATCAAAGACAGATCCGCACGTTTGCAAAAGATCTTCCCTACCGATTGTTGAAACGACGCGAGCCGGGCCGGGTCTTGATTCAGAAAGATGAAGGACCCAAAAGTCTAAATAGGGAGTTATAAATTCCCCATATTATATATATATATATATATATATATATATATATATTTATTTATTTATTTATTTATTTCTACTTATAATTGATTAGTCTAACAATTTATAGATAAGCTAAAACTATATCAAACAATGATATAGTAAAGAGTCGTTAGAATACCATTTCAAGTCACAAAGTTTGATGTCCCTTTCACACATTTATATCTACGTTTTATTATTAATTTTTGTTCCAAAAATAAACAAACAAATTTAAAAATCCAATTTTTGTATATAAATCAACGTGGTTATCATTCTTTACACAGATATAAACCGTCACATTTATCTTGACGATCAATTCAAGTATAAAAATAAAAATAAAAATAAAAATAAAAATAAATCTAAGGCCTAATGAATCTTTTAGAGTCCCCACAACCCATGATAGAAGAGGGCAATTTGCCAACTTTCTCCATCCCTTCTTCAAACACTGCTCCCATGCCCATATAGAAGTGGGACTCGATATGGCAATGAAATGCCCAAACACCCGGGTTATCCGCTACGAACCGCAACGCGGTCCACCCGTACGGGTGAACCGGTACCGTATTCTTCATAATCGGGTTCACCAAGTTATACGTCTTCGGATCCTCTGTAGCGTTGAACTTTCCGCGTCCATATCCGAGAACCCAAAAATCATGCCCGTGAAGATGCCACGGGTGTGTCTCGCTGTTATTGTTAGCAATCATGTTTGCATTTTGGAGAACAATGTCGACCGTTGTATTGAACTTTAGTTTATACACGGAGTTGCTAGTCGTGAAACCGAGGTTCGGTGGAGGGATATTTATGTCGTAAGCTTCGTAGCCGTTGATGACATCTGGAGGCGAGGTTTGATTGAACGTGTGAAGTAGGTCGTGTTTAAGTGATATGAGATATGGGGTATGAGGAAGGGTAAAAGAGACGTTATTAATCGACCATTTGACACTTCCGTTTATTCGGTTTTGTGTGTTTAGAAGAATGATCACTCGGTCGGATGTTTGGGGCGGGGAGTGTATGTATCCGGGGTGGGATTTGATCGCGAGACTTTGGTTAACCCTGGCTTCAACATCGTTCCACAACGGTCCACTTGGTGGCACCGTTGGTGGGGATCTGGTCGGATGGTTCGGGTAGTAATTGAACACGGCCAAACCGATTGGGACCGTGTTGTTACGACTCACCATTTTTGAGACGACCCAATAGTTTCTTGACGGGTCTTGGTCTGCCGTAATCAAAACCGAGTACGTTTCACCCGAGTAAATAAATAGATTTTTTACGACAAATGGTTCGACGTAATGACCATCGGCTTCAACAACCGTCATATTATGTCCCTGTTTTTCAAAAGAAAAACAACAAATAAATATAAAACAATTTTGAATAAAAAATGTCTACAGTGAACCATTTACTTTGGATGTTCGGGGTTGCTTATAAAAATAACTTATTGATTTATTTTGGTATGGTACCGGTAATAAACACTTTTGAGTTTTTGGATAAACAACTTATATCGGTGCCAAACCGATAATAAGAAGTTTTTGAAGAAGTTAAACCTTCTAACTTATAATAAGTTGATAAGTGATTTTATAGAAAAACTTGTTTCAAACAAGCAATCCAAAGTTAAAAGGTATTTTGGCTTACCTCTACTTCGAAACTGAGAGAAGCCAAAGCAGTTAAGCTTCCAATCCTAAGCCGGTAAGTTTTTCCGGGAACGACGGTGAAAACGTACGGCGAGCATTCAGGATTTGTGGCGTTACAGACACCGGCTGCAGTTCCCGGTGTACTGCAATTGAATCTTCCTTTCCCTTGGATCAAAAGTGACTGAAACCAAAATTAAGATGATATACGTTTTTAGAAGAAATTTTCATATCGGAGGCAGATCAGATCGAGTTCAGCGAATTAAAGTTTTGAATAATTTGCAGTTCGTGAATCGTGAGTTGTCAAATAATTTGCAATTCGTGAATCGTAGAAAAATGATTATGAACTGTAAATATGTCATTGGATTCTTGTATATGAATTTAATTGAATAGAAAAATTGTAGTGTCTGAATACCTCAGGATCGCCGACCCAAACGAATGGAACAGATGAAAGGCCGGCAGCCTGTTCATAGGTGCTTTTGTGATACCAATCGTTGAGAATGATGCTTCTGTCGTAGTCGTAAGAGAACGGTTCGGCTTCTCCATCTGGAAGCGCCACCCTAATCGATCCGTACAAACCTGCCTCTCGTTGCATCCCGTAATGCGCATGGTACAAGTATGTTCCTGCCTGCACATTCAATCAATTTGTCAATATTAAACAACAAATCAATGAAACTATTAGATTTTCCTTTGTAATTATGGTAATAGTAGTGTGAGATTTGGGGATATCTTACTCTGTCAACAACAAACATGTATCTGAAAGTGTCTCCTGGTGAAATAGGGCATTGAGTAACGCCTTCTGTTCCATCAGCCCATGGAGTTCCAATCTACAAATCCATCAACAAATCAATTAAAACCTCAAAACCTAACGATGTCTATTCAACCCAATCCGTTATCGGTCAGTGTGTACCTGTCTGATACCGTGCCAATGAATGGCGACGTTCTCGGTCAGTAAACTATTCTTAAGGTCAATAACAATGGTGTCGCCTCGCTCCGCCAAGATCGACGGACCAGGGGTTCTTCCATTAATAGTGATGCTTAGCTTCCTATAACAATCCGGCGATTTGAACTCGTACTTAACCTCCCATCTGTAGTGTCGAATCCTGGCCTCCACTATGGAGTTACTCAAAACTGAAAGCAGCAATACCCATAGCAATGGTAGGGTTTTCATCTTCATTGGCCGAGTATTTCGAAGTGAAAATGGTTTGAAAGCGGGCTTTGTTGAATGATTTGAGAGCAGGTGAGATCTTGTAGAGCAATATATATGGGGGTGGTGGTGGTGCTTGCTGGAAGTTGCTTTGGGCCTTCTACTCTGCTTGTGTGAAAGTCGCCTTTTACTTTTTGGTAGGATATTTGACTTTGAATCGGCAGAGTCGAATGCAAAAAAGTTTCTCACATTTCATTTTGAAAAACATGTTTTTATTTGTTATAATATACTTTAAATTATGTCAAATATTAAATAAAACGTTTAAAAGAATATAATTGTATGGACGCGTTTAAATAAAAAACAGTTATCAATTAAAAAAAATATAAGAACGGTTAAATCACATGTAATTTGTGTGACAAACATCAAAAGTATGTATGATTTGGTCACACACCCTTTGTGTTGACCATGTTTCGTAGTATTATGTGATTTTGATGGAAAAATCAGATGTGATTTTATCGTTATCGAGTTTTCTTATTTTGATCGTCTTCTGATTTGAACTTCCCTTTATAACAATATCATTTCATAAACCGAAATGTCTTTGTTTTAGCGGTATCTGAGTCTTTGGCCTCGTAGGAGGTTAGGGACTCAAACCTCTCAAAAGATGAGGAGAGTGTGTGTGTTTATTTGTTTTATTTGTCGTATATAAATATTATATTCTTCCAAAAAAAATATATCATTTCATCAAATTGTTTATCTGTTTAGTGGTATGGTACAGATTGTTGAAACAAATTTATCATGTATAAAGTTTTTCCAAACCTTTTTTTTCCTCTCTCTCTATATATATTTATAACTTCTAATTTCATATATAATTCGATAAAAATTATTGACTAATAATTAATTATCTTAAATATATTTTTTAAGAGAAAAAAAATGTTGTATTCTATTTTTTAGATATGAAAATAGAATATGTATATTGAAAATATGTTTATATTTAAAAATTAATGATTATAGTATACATTTATTACAAAGTAATGCAAAATGAAACACCAAAAGGTCAAGATGTTTTAATATGGGCAGTTACGTTAAAAAAAGTAATTTTGCATAAAATAATTATATTACATGAAAAAAAAAAATATATATATATATATATCATCAATAGGTTTATATCATTGAATTGTTGTATGAATAGTAAAGTCTAATATTTATGGAGGTCAAGTATTCAAATTTTACAAAAAATATGAGTATAAATTTTATCGTATATAATTATTTTATATTTTAAAAAACAGAAGTTTACTTAACATTGTTTTATTCATCCTTTTTTTAATTTTGTTACGGATTTTTCGTAAATAGCTCAACGTTAAATAAATATATTTGGACATGTCATCTTGTTAGACAACATATTTTGTGGATATCCATGTGCATAACATATTCGGCTACCGTCATTTGCTTACCAATTTGGCCATGCATTTTAGCTTCCCGACACATAATGGCAGTCGGTTTAATTGGAAATTACTATGTATATACAGGTACAGTGGTGGGTACGCAATTTGTTTGATTTTCGAGTTTGATATATGCCACTGCTTTAGTTACCAATTATGGAATATTATTACTACGTGTTTGGTGCATATCGTCATATCAGTTGTCTTGTTTGTTTCGTTTCTTGTTCGCGTTTTTACGACAATTTACCACATATTTGGTGTACCCAACAAGATTTTCGTTCCATGTTACACATATCAAAATGATATACCTAAATTTTTCAAAAGATTCGTAAGCTATTGCATTGTATATGCTTGTTTATGTAGTTTGTATAATGTTGATTAAAGTTTCGTCCCACTTTGAAGGTCAACCCAACTTATAAATAAAGATCGAGCATCAGGGCTTCTCTCAATAAGTCGTTAATTCGACAATTATCAGGGTCATTGAGCATTTTATTGGTTGTTATCTTATGGGCTTAATGAAATTAGTCGAAGCACAAGTTGGTTCAGACGCATTTGATTATCCAGAAAGAAAAAAGTTTTGAACGAGTTACTTTTTTCTAGCAAATTTAATATAAAGTCGTGTCTTTCCGAAAACATTTGATTGGTCGTTTTCGGTTTTTCAGGACCTTAGTTGCTTCACAATTTGCCCTTACCGATTCATTTATTCTGTATGTTTTGTTTCTTTCGTTTTAAAATATCTGCTATTTAAAAAAATTAATTATATTATATTTAACATCATTCAATAATTACAAAATAGCAAAGTTTAATTGTAGTCCTTTATGTTTTCAATTTTTAACGAATATCGTTCCTAAACGCTAAAACTTTCAAATTTGGCCCCTCAAGTTTGTCAATATCGAATGGTTTTGGTCAATCTGTCTAACGTTCATCAACTTTTTTCGTTAAATTCAATTAAATGAGAGGTATTTTAGCCATTTTCACTATTTTCATTATATTAAAATAAAAAAACACATATTATATATTAATTTTTAGTGGTAAAAAAGACTAATAAATAAAAGGTGGTGGTTGTTCTTTTTTTGTCTTATCATTTAAATTTAAAAAAATAATATATATTTTTTAATTTTAATATAGAATTAGAAAGATACTAAAAATATAACCACAAGGGTGGTGCCTGATTGGTTTGAAATTGACTCCAAATATCAAAGTACCAGGAGGTCACAAGTTCAAATCCAAGGAGTAATAAAAATTTCCTTGTGGCCACGGAGGTCCAAATGCGGTGACTCCGGACTATCTGCAAAGTAGGTGGTCGTTCTGAGATTAATCGGCTCGCATAGCGGGTTGAATGTTCAGGTTAATAAAAAAAATAGTAAAAATATTAAAATACTCTTCATTTAACTATCCTTAACAAAAAAAAGTTAGAGACCGTTAGTTGAAGGGACCAAAAACTATTAAATTACAAACAGTAAGGACTAGAATTAAACTACAATCTTAAAAAATACACAACATAAAAGGCTATAGCGTATACCAAGAACGAATCAAAATTTGTACGACTTTTGACTCGGTCAACTCACCCGAGTTTTATGCAGAAGGCTCGATGTTTTCGGAGAAAGTCACCAGCGATATTGATTTTTATAATTATTTTTTTAATCTCGAATATTTTAATGATTTTAAAATCAAGTACTATTCCAATACTTCTGTATTATCCATTGAGTGATAAATAATAAAAATATAATTTCAAAAAATATTTGAAATATATGGGTATTAATTAGGAACAAAATCGAAATTATAGACATTTAAATGATTTTTTTAATTAATTACTCCTCTTTTCTTTTTAAATATATGCTCAAAATGTCAATAGGAACGCTTATTTTTAATAAAATTCATTCTGCGATGTGGGTGTGTATGATCCCATGTAGGGATGTTTATGAGTTAGGTTGATCGGGTTGAAGATATTTGAACAATCCAATTTAATGCATGCGGTTTGAATTTTTTTAATCCAACTTAACCCAAACCAAAGTGCAACCCAACCCAATCCAAACTGTACGGGTTTGTAGAGTTAGTCGGATTGATACTTTGGTACACTAAAATATTCTTTACACATTGAATATATTATTTCTCTATTTATAATTTCTTTTTCATTATCAACCATTTGATACAACTTATACATATTTCATATGTATATCACATTTAGTTAATTTTCTTAATTTATATATATATATATATATATATATAGAGAGAGAGAGAGAGAGAGAGAGAGAGAAAGTTTGTTTCAAATACAACCTGTTGCATTTGTACAACGAATGCAACCCAATAAATTGACATATTTATGGAAATGATGAGAGTTCATTTATTATGATTTGAATATTTATAGAAAATGAATATAGTTCATTAATTATGATCGATACTTTATATTAAGAAACAATCAAAAGTTCTATGAAATCACATATTAATCAAATGAAATGGACGGTTGAGATTGGGTTGTATTGGTTGCACAAATGTCATGGGTTGTATAATAACCAACCTCTCTCTCTATATTATATATATATACATATATATATATATATATATATATATATTCACATTTACTGAACATATATACGAATGAGTTATATAAAAATGTGAATAAGATTGAAATATGTGTATATAAAGAACATACGCGATATTGTAATTGTCTAACATATATATTAATAGAAATTCAACAATCATATTAAATCCAATAAATAAAATGATATCAGGTTCATCGGATTAAATTAGGTTCAAATAATAGTAACTCAATATCAATTCAATACTTACATTTTATAACTCGATTTAACATCAAGTTGCTTCGAATTAAATTGTTTCACGTGGACATGGGTTGGATTGATGAGGTTTATCAACACCCCTAATCATCTAATGAGTAAGAATAAGTCTTTTTTAAGGAAAAAAAAAAAAGTAATATAAAATAAGGAAAAGAAAAGGTGAAAAGAAGAAAGACAAATTTGTATAGTGGGTTCAACGCGGAATTGTTATAAAAAATATATTTACATGCTTTATCTTGTCATAAATTAATTTTAATTTTAATTTGATGCCTAATAAAATATAGTTTTCATAAATAATTAAATATAAATGGAACAATTCATTGATTACGTTATAATATGCAAAATGATATTTAATTAAGGGTGAAGATATTTATATCTATTTATACACGTTAAAGACACACATCCCTATCTATAACTATCATAATTTAATAATTATATCATCACCTAACTTTATTTTTAATTTATTAGAAGGTAATGCAACGAGATACATATTCATTTTAATGTTTCGTTTTATTTTTTGTTTTTGTTGAAATAATACGGTTTATGTAGTTTTGAGAAAAAATAATATTTTTACTTTTGAATAAAAATAACTTTGAAGATATCATAATTCTTGTTTAAAATATATCGATATTAATATCAAATTAACTATTTAAAAGTTATTGTTTTTTATATAATTTATTTAATTCATTTTTTATTAAATTTAATTTAGATCAAATAGTGAAGTAATTTATTTTCGGCTTAACAATAAATTTTTTATAAAGATAATGATTCTATTAGAACTCGATAATTA